AAAAAAAAAAGTTTTTGCAAAGAGTCAATTGTGCAACCATTTCTAACAACAACTCCTAAGAGGCAAAATCGCAGAGAGGGGAACGTAAAAAAAAAAAAACTCTTTAAGGAGCTACCTCACAACTGTCAAGATGCCCAGAGTCTTTCCATAAAACCGGATTCGTTTGTCCCAGCGGATGTTGATTGTAAAGTAAGCCGGTCGGTCTGGCGCGTTTTTCCCGTCTCGGAGTCTCTGAGAAATCCTCTTTTAAAGAAATGCTTTCGAAACGTGGTCGGACCAGAGGGATTTAGATCAGGTGACGGGCGGTCGAAATTCCCGTTTGTCCGGGCGAGGCGGATGAGAAAACCCCTTAGGTTGTGTTCGTAAAGGCTGAGGCGGGGTTCAAAAGAGCGGGAAAGCGAGTTCCGTTCCGTTCCGTTGAGTTTTGGCTACTGTCGGGGAAGGAGAAACCGAGGTGAATCTCGAACCGGCTCTGCTGTCGGTAGGCAAAGAATAACTGTACATCCGGTCCGGTCCGGTCTGGTGGCGGCGTTCCCATTGGCACCCGGAGCGCCGCCGACAATTTTTGGAAAGGGTTTCACAGCCGCCGAATAACAAAATGGCCGACAGAGCCACGGAAATGCTCAGCCTGTAGTTTGTGTAGCCCCCCGCCCCCCCCCCCCATGCCTCCTCCATCCCAGTCAGAGTGACCAAATCTGGTATTTTCTTCATTTTTTCTTTTGTCTTTTGGAGTCCTGCCGTCCTGCCGTCTCCCTCGCCGATCGTTCCTCCGTCCTTTTTCTCCCCCCTCCTCCTCTTCCTCTGTCCTCCTCTCCCGCTGACCTCTCTCCCCCCAAAAACTTCTCAAATGTGCCTCTTCATGTGCAGTGCCAAGTGATCCGACCGCGAGAAGCACCTGCGAGCGGAGGAAAGGGGGAAACAGAAAAAACAGCTTGTTAGCTTGTTAGCGCCGCGAGAGGAACAAGTTTGTTTTGCGGATAGATGGGGGAAGGGGGGATGGGGGGGAGGCTAAATGTTGCCGTTAGTCAGAGGCTGCCGGGCCGCTAATGCACACGCAATTAGTATATGTGTAACTAATTCATAATCAGCATTTTCCGGCAGCGACTCCTAACGACTTCAGCTGCGCCGCGAATAACTCAGAGAGGCCGCAGATGGATGGAAAGGGAATGGAGGGGAAAGAGGGAAGCAGCATGCGAAACATGTGTAGATGAAGAGTAGATGAATCAAAGCCCCCTTCCCTTCCTTTTTCGGTGGTGAGCATTGTTAGAATTGGGCTATAATTACTTCCGTTAGCATAGCATGCTACAACTTAATCCATGTAATTGTATTATTCCTTTTAAATTAATATTATTCCCTTTAGAATTCTACTTTTGTGTTAAACTCTCTGGCTGTAGATCCTCTCTCTGTCACAGTAGATACTCGTCTTTGAGGTCAACATACACACACACACACACTTTCTTAGCATATTTCACTGAAACCTGCATGAATTAGGACCTGGCCTGTTCCTGACCAAACTAACTCGCTAATATCACTCGGTTACGCCCAGCCGTCCTCCCCTTTTCGAGGCCCGGCCCAGAGGATAACTGCCCATCGCACAGAGATCCCCTGGGAACTTTGTCAGTGACCAATAAATGTCATATTCGTACTCTTGATCTCCTCTGGTTTATTCTCAGGTTTCCAACAAAAGAACCACACGAACGGCGTCCAAAAAACGATTGGAGACGGGCGCTCGTTTTGGGAGTTTTCAATGGGGTATACCATGAAAAAGTTCTGGGATTCTGATCCCTAATCTTACGACTTATTGCAATTCCGACGGCTAGCAAATTGACAAAAATCCAAGGGAATATTTGCCTATATTCCACAGTCATTCAGCAATTAGCTAATCAAGTTATTGATTTGACAAAAATAAGAGCTTAAGTGTCGTTTAAGAGCTTTTACATGTCTAAATCTGTTGGTTGTCCAACCGTCCGAGGTGTCCAGATGAGTCACTGTTTGGCCGAGGGGCGGGGGGGGGGGGTTTCCACGTGAAAGGCCACAAGTCATCCGTCTTACCGTCGCACCTGTGTGTGTTGGTGTTTGCGTTTTTTGTGTATAAGGACACAAACGGAAGCGTGGGGATGGATGAGGAGCTCTGGAGACATCCACCGGTTTGTGTGTGTGTGTGTGTGTGTGTGTGTGTGTGTGTGTGTGTTTGCTGGGCGAGACAGATGGTAAAGTATGAGTCACGACTCTGGGGCACGACACCAGCTGGCACACTGTGGGTCTGTCTCCCC